TATGATTACGATCCTACTGCTCAAAATCAAGCTATTAAAATTAAGTTACGAACATAGTAAATAATATTTTAATAGCAAACCATATATTTTATATACATTAAAGTTTTAAATTTGATTTTATTAGAACGTCGCGAATATTTTTATTTGATCTTTATTTTGCCCCATCAAACCTATTTAATAATTGGGTAAATTTTTAAAGAATCACCAGTATATGATGGGAATATTTTAAATAAACGGAATCGTTTATATGTATGTATTTTTATATTTTTAATTAATTTGATTATTTAATTAACTTTTCGCTATGTATCAAATTAAAGTAGAACTTAAAGACAAAATTTAGAAATAATAAAAAGTTTTAACGTGATTACTACATAGGTCGGATTCAGAGCTAGTCGGCTTATTATAATCTTTGCAACGAAGGCGCTTCTTAGCTTTCCAAATATTCATGACACCCTCAGGACGATGCCAGTCATGCCCACAGATTTACTAAATGGATAATGAATCGGTATATCAATTGACATATAGAAGAGATAATTTATTTATATATATTTCAATTTAAATTCTTTAATTATCATATCACTCAATTCATCAAAATGGTATCGAGTTTGCATATTTTCGACTGTCAAGCGGTCTTAGACTTATAAATTTCTACCATTTTAGTTTTACAATAAAATCATTAGATGAAATTATCTTAGATATTAACAAGTAAACAATCGTTATAACATAATTCAAGATGTAAAAGTATTAGTTTCGCCATACCATCATCAGAATAATTTGTAAGTACCAAATTAGAATAGTTAACGCTGCCAACAACTATATTTCTGAAACGACAATAGCGCGTTTATTAAGTCGAATAATAATTTGAGACAATTCTAAAAGGAAAAAATCAAGTATGTAATCCAGATTATCAAATATGAGAAAAACTATCCCGTAAGTTATAAAAAAATTCTGAAATTGATAGTGAAGATTTTTTAACCAAAAAAAAATTGATTTATGATTAATTCTTCCTAGAACTGGTATCTTGCCAATAATTATGATGCTTTATTTGTTTGTAAATTTAACATGACATGATAAGATAAATTTAATTTCACAAATTTCTAATAATGGTTAAAAGATCTCGTTGTGTTTGAAAATATCAAAATGTGAATGCGAAAGCGAAGAGATGAAAATAAAGAATAATTTAAACTGCGTATTTATTAGTTAAGTACAATTTTAAATTTACTATTAATATACCGTATATATTCAAGTTGAGGGTAGGTTTTGACATGGAATGTTTGCTGATTTAAACCATTTTCAATTTCGATATGTTTTTAGCATAGAACGAGAAAAACTCTGTATTAATTCTACACCTTAACAATATTTTCATCACAACAATGTTGTTTCAAAATAAATTATGCAAAGGCGTAACCTCCAATACGTAAACAGCCCATTTTTTTTAGCATTAACGTGTCCTTTTGGTTAAAATATATGTTTATAATCTTTTTCCTATAGCATTCTTTTTCATTCAGGTAGGTTTTGGTAAATTTATTAAATATTTACAAGTCCTCTAACAATATTCATCTCTTTTATGTTGTTTAAATGATTATAGATACCCTTCCGAGCATTCTGCCCGCGATTCCCATACAATGAAAATTTCCTCTCTGTCATATCCTTCTGTATGTTTAATAATTTTTTAATGTAATTATTTTTTAGTTTATATGATAATTTAACTTAATACTTTACAAATTTTATTGTTATCATGACTCATTTTATTATATCCTTAACTGATTAAATGGATTCCTTCAGTTTGAAAGCGAAAGGTTGAAACCAATTTAGAGAGTTAATTAAATAATATGCTAGTCAAAATGTTGTAAATTGTTCCTTGATATCTTTCCAATTTTGATACAAATGTTCTTAAATTTGGGTTGCGATTGGTATTGCATCCTCGTCGCGCAGCCATTATGCTACAGGGAGCTTTACGTAGAGGTGTTAGAAGTAGGTAGGATAATTATTCACATCATTAATGTATAAGGCAAATTTGGTAAACTAGTGTTGTATTCAGTTCTTTCGTTTATGTATTTATAAACAATTTGTAATGTAAGCAGAAGATATTAATTGAATATAATTGAATAATTTTTAAGTAAAATGAAGTAATTGTGACAAGTATTTATTTAATATTATCAAATTAATCAGTGTTGCTTCAACATCGGCGCTCTACACTTTTCGCTATATCAATATATTAAACTAAGTAAATGCCAAATACTATTTAATTAAATTAATTAAACTGCGCAATTACGAAAATATTACAAATAATAAAAATAACATAAAATCGGAAATTAAAAAAAATAATAATAAATAAACGTAGTTATAAACGACGAAAGCGAAAATATCGCGATGATGTTAAAGGAAGGATTTAGAGGTGAATTTATGCAAATTATATTAAGGGCGAACGTGGAATATTAAGTTGTTTGGATATATATATAATTAGGCCATCCTGGCATTCTTGACATCCTGTCATACTGGCCCTTGACATCCTGGCGTTATTAACATTTTGTCATATTGGCACCTTGACAGCCTGGCAAATGATCTTTAAAGGCTAACTGCAAATATCGAAAGCGATACTCATGCGGAATTATGAAGATTTCGAACGAAATTGCATTCAATTGTAACACTAGCTATATGAGTTAAGATAATTTAAGGAGTTAGGTAATGTTGGTAAGCCGATTATCACAATAGAGTTTCTTTAAGGGGTTTGGTAAAGTAGGTAGGATGAATATGGGAGTATTGTTGCACCGTTAGGCAATGTTGGTAAGCTGGTTATTTGAGCAATCAAGCAAAAATAACCGTTAAGGAGTTTGATAATGTTACGATTACAACTGAGTTTGTCAATTTTCGATATCTTTGCAATCAGACTATGGTATTCAATATTATTATCTATAATAGTTAAACTAATACTGATCTTCTTTTTTAATAATTCCTTGTTTTCTTTGGACAATTCTTCTCGTTCTCTAATTTTGATTTGTAATTTAATTTGCTTGGCTTTGGCCTTTTTTTTTTCTAATTATTAATATTGACTTTGTGATTTTTTTTCTCGTTCTTTAATATTTCTTCTAAATTATTAATAATTTCTTGCTCCTTCACTAACCTTTCTTCTAAATATTTGAGTTTATTTTTCTCTAATTCATTTAAGTCTTTTAAGAATCTTAAATTGTTCCTTAAGACATTTTTTTTTTTGATTGAAATTTTTTTTCTAATATCAGTTAGTTTAATTTGTTCGGATGGTTATTTTATTGATTTTCTTGCATCTAATAATTACCAATAGAAAATTCTTTTGTTCAGCCCTCGGTTTAAATTTTTTCCAACTGTAATATTTCCCTTAATTAAATGATTTCAGAAAGAATCATAGCCTGCCTGTATATGAGGCAGAATGTCGCAAAAGGTTCAACTCTAATATCAAGTTCCTGATTAGTGCTCCGTAAGGATCAGGTCTGGTCAGGTTTGAAGGATATTCGAACTCAATCCCGTTAATAATTACAGAACCTGAATTCGACTCGACACCATTGTTTGACTCGGTTCAACCCGAGATCGACTCGAACTTGAAGGGTGATATATTAATTCCGAAATAATTAAGCGTCGTATATTTTATTTTTAAAATTGTTTAGTTTATTTTTTTTTGTTTACATTAATTCCTAAATATTATTTTTTTTTTTACATTTTTTTCCACCAGGATTTCAAACACATACAGGTGCGAATTGTAATACAATTTGGGGTTATATGAATTTAATGTAATGCCTTTCAGATTGTGTAATGCCTCAGGAAGTTTCCAAAGACTTATAAATTATGTCATACAACCTTAAGCATCTAAATTCGTTTCAGTATATTTGGATGTATTATTATTTATTCAAAATCTTTCGAACAATATGTTGACCACGTCAAGAAAGCTTTCAAAGCGTTAAGAGAAGCCAATTTGAAAATTAAGTTAAAGTAATGCAGTTTTTGCATGCCCAATTTAACATTCCCAGGATATATTGTTGGAAGTGAAGGTATTCTATCAGATCCAGCTAAGATTGAGAAGTAAAAGACTTATCAATACCAAAAGATGTATCTCAAGTATGACCAACTCTAGGATTACAGAAAATTCATTAAAGACTTCTCTCGAATTGCAAAACCAATCAACACTCTGTTGAAGAAAGATCAAAAGTTTGAAAACGCAACAGAATGCACTTAATTGTCTAAGAATAGTTTGATCAATGCACCAATTCTACAATATCCAAATTTCGATGAGACCTTTATTTATATACTGATGCATCACAGATATTGATTAATTCCATTAATTGTCATTTTACACGCCTCTTTAAAGTACTCAAGGGAAAGGGAATAAAATTACTCGAGATGATGACCCAAATGATAATTCGAACGATTCAACGATGAAGAATCGTCAAAAGAATCTGAACGACTAGAACTACATGATCCTTCAAACTAATATTGTTTAATGCCTGGCTGAATTTTATGTCTTTTATGTAAGTTCACTTACTTTTTATTATTTAAAATTTTAAAGAATTCTTAATTGATCCATGTAATTATCTTATTTAAACTAGCTAATGAAGACTACGCAGCAATTTTGTTTCAAGTTTCAATTCTATTTCTGAAGTTTACCTCACGCAATTAAATCCTATCTCGATTCACCTTGATGGATGTGACAAAAGCACAAAAAAAAGAAATGATTGATAAAAAAGATGTGTAATTGGATAAAAACACTATATCAAAGTTCGTTGATTTAATAATTGTCTCTTTTTATTTTAGACATGATATCAAATTCTTCTTCATATAATATAAATAAATCAATTTTACGCCTTGACTAGGTTTGGTTTTAAATAGGATTTTATGAGGTGATTTTTCGTCAAGATTTATAGAACATGAATAATATTATAATCTATCCAAATTTCTCTTAAGCTGATCATACGAATAATGCTCATTGACCATCAGCTTTGTCTTATGATCGATAAAGACCTGGAAAGTTTTTATTGTACTTTGGAAGTAGACAATTCTGATAGAGATTCTGAAAATGCAAATATTTGGTCTAAATCGAAACCTTGAGAAACTGAAATAGAAATTAGTTTTCCTGAATTCTTGATTTTTTTAAATCAAATTTATAATGCGTTATTTACTAAATTATCAATTATTAGATGAAAAGTAATGACCGAATTAAATAATCACGCCGATGATGATATACCTTTGATTTCTATTGGTAATAATTTATCATTATTTTTTTAAAAAGGAATTGTAATTCTTTAATTGATTTAATAACAAAATGTTCATTCAATCATTTAATTAGCTTCTTGATTTGACTTTTTACTTATACAAAAGAAATTTAGAAAAAAGAGAAAAAATGAGAATTATATTTAGATTTTGATTAAATATGGATGATGAATTATGGTATGCAATAAAGTTGCAAAAAATGCGATTTGAAGTGAATATTTGTAAATCGGTTCTTGCGTCAATGGCCAATTAGAAGAGATCATTGATTCCCTCTTCGCAAGTAATTATAAGTGACAATGGTTAAACATATTATTTAAAATTTTGAAATCCTCAAGAATTTACAACTTATTTCTTACCTTATTGTTATATTATTTCAATTTAGTTTTAGAAAGATTTCGTTCGCAATATCATGATATCGAAAGTCAAATTAGAAATCAATTTCAAATCTTAGTTTAGACTGAAAAGGAGGTACTGTTTAATGATGATTATTTGTTGAAATATTTTAAAACGACTAAAGATTCTGGAAGTGTAATGAAACAATTACATATTCGTAATTCAACCTTTTTATACCATATTCTTGTATCAACATTAATTCGTTATGGATAGACGCTTGTATTACAAGAACCAATGCGAAAATAAACTTCCGTTGACTTACATCAGCTAGCATTTGTTTACTTATAGAAACGCCTATAACCTTTTCTTCATCTTCACATATTCCACTAGATATTGGCATTGTTACACTGATGACTCCATATACCAGTGTCTGTTATTTACATCTTCACATTCACCATCACAATTAACAATTGATGATTATTTACCTTCATAATCACATTCAACTTTTCCTGTTAGAATTCCGTACCGAAAAATATAAGATAATGTATTCAATGCTTTATAATTGACAACTATATTTAAATGTTAAAATTCTTGTACAATGTTAAAATGATTTGCTTAAAACTTTGAGAATGAGAGATTTAGAAAATTTAACAAATGTCATCATGGTGGAACATTCATATGCAGAAAAAAAAACAGCAGATTCCACACGAGAATTTCGGATGTTTGATACATTGAGTGTTAGGCTTACAATGTAGACTGCTGCTGCATTCCAAAAGTTATTGTTTAAAAAGTCTCGAGTAACCTGACGGTTGGGTCATCAAAGGTTACCCATTGGATCAAGATCTTTTCTTTTAATCAAATTTAATAATTTTTAAGAAAGAAATTTTTTTAACTAACAACAACTGATTAACTAGATTAGGTGCTAAACAATTAAAAAAAAGACATTCGCTTAGAATAGAAGTAGTAGATATTAAAAGGACATTCATTACTTGTTTCTTGAAATGATAGCAAAATATTTTTTTCTTCCCAGTAAACACTACTGGGAATAATACTTCTTCATAAGCCATCTTAAGATAATCCGATCTAGTTTTTATCGACTAGATTTTTGATAGTATGCTTTAGAATTTCTTTACCATGCCTTTTTAATATATCAGACAAGATCAGAATGGGTAATCAAGTTGTACCAGATCCTTCGCCTAATAAAATATTTTCACTTAAAAAAAATTAATCTGTGATCTATTCTATTTAATTCAAAGTTGCTGCTCTTGAAAAAACTTGTCACGTCTCATTACCGGCCCATATTAACACACGTGAAGAATTAATCATAAATAAAACAAAAATTTCAAAGTAAACGTTCCAAGGTTATAGTTTTTATTACTCAAGAATTATAAAGTTTTTATTAAAATTTTTTATAAAATAATAATAATTTTATTACACATTATAATATATACTAATTTACATAGATACATTTAATGATCGTTCAAAAAAAAAAAAAAAAATCGTTTTTCACCACCGTATGAACTCTTCTTAATGGATTCCCAGAATAGTGTGATTTAGTGGACCAAATTCAAGAAGAATTTTGGATTAAGATTTAGAAGTTTATAAAAGTCATTTACCGCAACACAATATTTATAAAAAAATATGGTCACGGAAGACATTAAAATTACATAGTCATAATTATCAAAAACGATTTTTGAGCAGCGGTATGGGTCGCTATATCTAATAAGCTGTAAGGAAGAAAAGAAAGTCGATGAGATAAACATATAATAAGCAGGAAAAAAAAACAAAAACAAAAAACATAAAAACAAAAGCATCATCAAATTAAGACGACGCAGCATCATCAAGCAATTAAGCGACGACGCAAAGCATCAGGCCGTAAACAGCAACGCAATAAAGCATCAAGCCGTAAACAGCACTGACGCAATTATGGTTTATCGTTAAGAAAGGTTGGGAAAAAGGGCAAGCTTGTCGCAATTAGTTACATGCACATCTACCACATGACAGGGCTATCTTCATTAGGCCTAAACACAAGTGCCTAGACATAACTACTCAGTCCCTCCCCGCAGTCAGTGGCCATCTGAAATAAAATATAATATGTCTTAGCGTGACCGTGTGGACGTTGTTAAAGTGCTGAATCATCAATAGTTGCTGTTCTGAAAATCGAAAGTTGCTGCTCCTGACCATGTTGTCCAAGCCGCCGGCGATATGTTTCCAACGGTATCGTCTAATAATACTTTACCTGAACTGATGGCCACCGGATAGTCCGACTCACCCTTACCAGCAGACGGAAACCCACAGGAACACTCCCTAATTGCGACATGCGGTTTTTTATTATCAAGAAAAGTGAAAAGGTGTTATTTATGCTGACGAAAAAGTGTATGGAAGATAGACCAAAGAAAGGAAAAGTTGGAAGGTATGCTAACGAGAGAAGACAGTAAGCCTGTGAGAGAAAAAAAAGACAAAAGATGCACTTTATTTAATTTTGGTGCGATGTCTCGTGATTAGATCATAATTACGTAATATTATATTCGATCAAAATGTTGATTAATTTTCCTATATTGGCTAATAATGAGTATAGCTACCAAAAGACCCGATAAATGTCATGAGTTGAGTCAAAGATTTTCGAAGTGGTTAATGTAGTTGATGTTATGAAGGATGAATATCATCATAAGTTTCGGGATTATAATGACCATATTCTTAAATTTTTAAATAGTGGATTTTTGAATAGGAACCTACTTCATCTCTTGGGTCGCGAAACGGTTTTGCTCGACGAAAGTCTTTCATATCATCAAAAGCTAATGCCAGACAGAAATGGATGTTTGGTGATCATCATCTGCTGAAAATCAAAGTAACAAACTTCGAATAAATTGAATATGTCTATTTAAAATTCATGGTCAAATAATAGAGAGTAATTTGATACATTATTATATTTTTTTTTTTTACGAGTGAATTTAAAAAATGTTCAAATGTTAGGATGAATAAATTTTTATTAAATAGAAATAAATATAAATTTAGATTATAATAAATAATTTAATTAGAATTTCTATTTAACCTTATAATCTTCAGGTTCTTTCAAAATAACGACTAAATTGTCTCTATGAATAATAACACATTCGGAATCGGCATAACCCAACTTCTTTTCAATTTCATTACTTTACAACCTTTAATCCTGGAAATTTCCGTTGAAGAATAATTCACCAAACCTTCACCATTCTCATTAACATTAACATGAAATTTTTCAAATATTAATTTAACAGCTTGATGAGTCACGAAATTTCCTTCAAATTTCACAATACCGGCAGCAAATAAACTACTCTTTTGTCCAGCATTCGTTATAGCTTTTATAGCACCTTCATCAATTAATATAGTACCAGCTGTATGTAACCCGTAATATCCACCACTATTTATCCATCATTGGATTATTTTTTGCTAAAAATCGTGTATGAAGGGGTTTAATGAAAGGATTTTTATACGAAACCGAATTTTGATCATCTACGTTTGATAAATTTGCTATGATTGAAAGATATTTTTTGGTGTTGATCAGCGAGTTATGATCGTTGTGACTCCAGCAGCTGTTGCAAGATCTGCTGCTATAAGCTTTGTTACCATTCCTCAAGTTCCTAATGAACTTCCAGGCGACGAAATCGTAACTAATAACGAGAAAGAGTTAGATAGAATAAATAAAACAAAATGAATTGAATAATCAAGAATTAGATTTCAAAAGCTTGATCTTTTAACGCTCCCACACCTTAACAGGCTTTGCGTCAGGATTTGTTCTTGGGTTGTCCGTGTATAGACAATCAACATCTGTCATCAAGAACAAATAGTCTACATTTACCATTCCAGCTGTTATAGCTGATAAGGTATCATTTCTCCAAATCGAATTTCCTAAAGATTATATGAAGTGGAGTAAGAAAATTTATTCAAGGTTCATGTATACTTTTTTTTTTCCACATCAACTTACGATCATGGAAATTGTATCATTTTCATTGACAATCGGAAAAACACCCATCGACAATAATTCAGAAAAAGTGTTGATAGCATTAAGGTATTGGAGTTCGCTATAAATAAAAACGATTAATATTTATCCAACCATAATTAAAATAATCAGTAAATTTCGTGTAATTTTTCTTACATCAGCAAGATCACGAGTCAATAGTATTTGCGCAATCGGTTGATTGAGTTGACTAAAAAGGTCATCATACATTCTCATTAACCAACCGCGGCAAGTTCCTTTTCATAAAGAAAATAATAAAATAAACAAATAAATTTTTTTTTGTAAAAAAAAAAAAAATCATTTCTCATTACAAATTTCAATTAGATTATCACCTGAATCGCGGGTAAATTTTTACAAAAACCACCCTATTACCTAAAGGCCTAAGTTTTACAGCGATTTCATAATTTTAAGATTTGACAATAATGGCAAATTGGTTTTATTGATGACGTTCTGAGTTTTATTACAATTACAATTATTGATTGTGAATTGCCCGTACATGGATTTTTATGGACATAATTTGGGCAGGATTTTATTTTTGAGCGAGAAATTCAAAATCTTTTTTTTTTTGAAAGAAAAAAATTTTTTTTTTTTAATAATTTGATTGACGCTAAAATAATTAAATGAAATTTGGATGGAAAAATTGATTTTTTTTTTTTTTTTGTATTTAATTTATGCGTGCGTATATTGTAAATTAAACTATACATACTAATTTCTCATAATTATTTTAGCTTGATTTACAAAAGAATATTTTGTCAAGTGTTTACTAAGCGATTATGAAAATGCTATCACATAAATTTTATTTAATTTAGGAATTGACATTAGTGTAAATTCATATTTAAAGCTATAAGTAGGGTTGGGATCGGTCCGATCAAAATCTAAAATTTTTTTTATTACCTATATTATTTTGATATTAAGAATTGTATTGTAATTTTTGACAGCTTGTCTTTCTAGTAAACATTGTGATGGAATAAATTCTTTCGATAACAAATGTAAACTGACCCTTCGTTGACAATAGGTTCCGAATAACTTTAAATAGACTAATATTCAAATGTCAATACTCAGATTTTCAGCATAAATCTGGTATTAAAAGCATATATTTTGTTTGATGATTATGTTGTGACTGAAATTGACTTTGAGATGTACTGTTTGTTACATTGAATGTATTTCGCCCGAAGACACCATAATTTTTTATGGCAGTTATTAGGATGGCAGGATGTAAAAATGGCAGATGCTATGCTGTCCTAATAATTATTTTTTTATAGATACGAGCTGGAAATTTTTAAGCAACTTAACATTCCACGCTCGCCCTTCTTATATACTCCTTAAAAACCTTCCTTTAATCCCTTCGCGATATTATCGTTTTCGCCGTTGTAACCATTTAAGTTTTATTATTGTATCTTAGTTTATTTTTTTATTCACGATTTCTCATCATTTTATTTTTCAATTTTTCGTAATTGAGCAGTTTTAATTAATTAGAGTTTTATTATTTAGTTTAATATATTCCGACGTTTAATATCATTTAATAAAGTTAGCGTTAATATTATTCATTTTTACTCAATAAAAACCTTTTGCTTACATTTAAAATTGTTTATAAATACATAAAAAATGACTTAATACTATATTACCATTCTTTATGGTCAAAAAGCAAATTACAAGTGTAAATCGTGATCTTTCGGTTGGAACTATATTAGACGTAACAGTATTCATTATTTAATTTTTCGAAATATAAAATTTGTTATTGAAATAAAAAAGGAAATTGAATTTATTAACATATGGCTTAGGTACGTTACAAAGCCTTTTGGCTTAGTTACGTTTCTAAAGCCTCTTGGCTTAGTTATGATATCAAAGCTTCTTACTTAGTTACATTATCAAAGCCTCTTGGCTTAATTACAACAAACAATGCCATTACAACATCAATATCCCATTTGCGAACTGGCCGGAATTGATCTTCGTCTAAATAAAATTAACATGAACAATGTGTTGAACCGATTATATTTAGGATTTACAATGGTGTGATTAGTTGAGAGTGGCTTTAAAGGTTGTAACGCTCTTTATGAGAATCTCCAGCAATCAATATAAGTTTCTTAAGGATAAGCCCAGTAAGCCCGATACTTAAGAAAAAACTATATAAAGTGAGGAAATTTTGTTATCACTTTGTCAAGAGACAGCCATTCCATTAAATAATTTAAATTGTAACACTACCTGATTATCTTATAAATACACGTCTTTAAGCTACATTCCCACAAGAATCAGTTTATAAAATTCACATATTATAAATACATTTGTAATATTCCTTCAAATACTTTCAAAGCTATCATGAAAATTCACATTTTCATGCTTATTATCGTCATTTCAACTTTCAGTAATGTTGCTTTCTCAGCTCCTTCTTCTAGTGATAAACACTCAAACTTGGTGAAAAGGTGGCGAGAAGACTGTGACTGCTCCGTTTGGTTTACTCGTGATCTTGGGTGTTGCTTTAAGACACTTGAAGAATGTTATCGATGTGTAGAAAATAGATTTTTGTTATGGGCAAAACCCTAAACCCATTATGGCAAAAGTTGGAACTTTTAGAACTTATTTCGATGGGTTTCCATGGGTTTCGATAGTTTCGATGGGTCTCGATGGGTCTTGAAAATTTCGACAGCTTCGATAACAACTTTGCGAATTTGACAATTTTAACAGGTTTATTGTATCACAATGTTGAATAAAACGATTTTTTTTTTTTTATTGCTTTTTATTTTAAATTAGAACAAGTTTCCAAAATAATACATTATTTATCGAGCAGGTTTTAAATTTATTTGCTCATCTCGTTAAATAAAAATAATAAACTTTTATATTCAAAAATTATATTTTAATATCAGAAGGTTTCGATGGGTTTTGACATCCGTCGGAACTTCTGGCATCCGTCGAAACTTTCGCAATTTTGCCTTCAATAAAAACGTTTCGATTTTTATGCCTGTCTGTTTTCCTTGCAAAGGTTGCATTAAAATTACCATTCACGAAAATTCCAAATTATCTGATATAGAAATACAAAATGTTGTATATCCAATACGACCAAATACTACAATTTCAATAATTTCACACGAAGACAAAGCTTTTTTTATATTAAATGATATAGATTTACTTCCGCGAGAAATCTATAAAGGCTAGTTGAACGTGGTAAAATATTAATATACGTCAAAAACAGATTCATTCATGGTGGGATGAATTATGAAAAAACCGATATAAATAAAATGAAAATTCTTTTATTTCTGCACAGGTATGGCTTGAAGATATATTCCAATTTTTTTAAAAAAATAAATGTAAGTAATCATTTTCAAATTTTGATTATTTAATCAGAAAAAAAGATGCATTTATTTATTAAAAGAATTATTAAATATGTATTTAGCATATTTATTTATCAAGTGTAATGTTATTGCATTTATTTATTAAATAATACATCCACACAAATTTATTAATAAGCTATCACATTTAAAAATACGTGGACTTGAACCTATCTTTTTTCTTACAGACAATGATTTTGCACAAAATATCAGCATCTGGAAAAATGCCAAAATACAATTATGGCTTTGGCATATAAAATAGGCAGTAGAAATAAGATTAACAAATAATAAAAATCCCTAACAAGTGAATTATAATGGTTTGGTAGCATATAAACATTTTTCTTTAATTGACCCTTCATTTTGCCTAACTTTATTCTAAAGACAAGATTTCTTTTTGCCCAAAAGAATTATGGCAAAAATATGGAAATTAATGAATAGACATTTACACCAGCACCCATTAATTCTAATAGACAATGGACAGTTTTTATCTTTAACTGAAATTTGGAATGCTGCAGTTCAAGAGATTTATTATTTTTGCAAAAAATTTCTTTAGCATGGCTGTGAGTCTATTTAAGGAATTAGTAGTACTCTTCAGAGCGCTGGATTTATTATTCGAACAGCGTGTGTTATAATTTCAATTTTAAAGACAAATATGTTTGTTAAAGCACATTGGAAAGTACTTAAACGTGATTTTTTGTAAAATTTTTTCATCCGCGTTAGATTTAGTGGTATTTATAATTATGGAGCAGGTAATACTACATCAACAAAGAAAGTTTAAGCAAGTGTTTTTGGTATAAAGAGAAACTCGGAATGGATTTAAAAGGGAATGGAAAGACCTAGCAGGACGGCCATCTAATAATACTTATTTAACTGATGTTACGCGCGTTAGATATGTGGATGTCCAGCTTTTTTTACTAGTCGTTTCCTTATTTGTAACCACCTTGTTCAACAAAGAGGGTTGTAAACATTCGATTTTTTGATGAGGTTCATCGTCATCATCAGTATTCTTTTGTCGACACTTCTTTAGCACATGTTATTTAATTTTGGACAATGTTTACAATTGCCAAATATTGAAATTGTTGAAGAAGAAGATGTGGAAATTTATGACGAAATATACAATAAGCCGATAGATTCAATGGAAATGATTAAAGATCAACAAATAAAAAAAAATGTTAAATGGATTCGAAATGTTGAAAAACTTTTCAACCAATTGAAGTAATGTTATCTTAAATAACTTTATATAAGCCGAAGAACAATGCCTCGAAAATTTAAAGATCATTCACATAATACCCATATTTTTTAATCGAAAATGTCTTATTTTATAAGGTAATGCATATTAATAACTAATTTTATTTTTATAGTACAGTTTAAAAACAATCTCCGTTTTCATTATTAATAAACTCAATATTTTATGTGAGTTAAGAAGATGTGAAACGATCAGAAATTCAATTGAAAACATGCAAATTATTATATAACAATATGAAAAAAAAATAAGAAAATTTAAAATTTTTATTTTATTTTCATGCGAATATTTTGCAAAATGTTATAATCTTGATATTTTAGCATGTCGAACGAAAAATTTAATAAATTATTAACCAAAAATTTTGATAATTAGGGCCGACTAATTCGGTCTGAAATAAAAATCACGTGGGGTGAAAAAAGTGTTGGGGATTAAAAGAATGGATAAGTCACGTGCTTTACGTATAGTATAACTTTAACTTTGTTGCACCACTGCAAATGTTACATTTTACCCCTTGTATTCATTCCAAAAAATGCACGATCATCCGGATATATTCTCAACAATAAAGTTTTAAAAAACGGGTTTTTTTGGTCACAATATAAGAAGAACTCTCAAATTTTTAGGGGGATTTTCGTTACATTTTTTTTCAGTAAAACTAAAATGTCCGAACAGGAACCAAATATAAATGAAGAAAATGGGTCTATCGCAGAATCTTCAAGTCTTAATACTAAATCCACTAAATCTTCAATTCCTTATGCAAGTACTATTAGGACTGCGAGCCTTTTTACCGAATCTACTAGAGCATCAAGTCAATATACAGAATATGATCAAAATGACGAACCATTTATATTAAATGAGAAACAAAGGGAAAGAGAAAATGCATTTTTGGGATATTATGAATGTTTAAACAGTGGTAACTCGAACTTAAATATTCCGACAATGTCCATATCCACAGCTAGAATTGATTTACATGATGTAATATCAAGAAAACATGTGATGAAAGAAGGAAGGCATTTAATTTTAACCAAAATTAAAGAATCTCCACAAATTAAAAATACTTCACTTTTTATTATTACGGGTAAGGGTTGGAAAAAACATGGGGAATATAGTGGAAAAAAATTCAATCAATTTCCTGCATGGATACAAGATGATGGAATCGTAATGGAAACCCTATAAAGGGGCTTGGAACTTATGAAGTAATTATTAAGAAAACTATGGATTCCAATGATAAAACCGAATATAACGATATTAACGAGGAAATTTTAAAGAATTGGGAAAATAAGTCGAAGGAAAAAAATGATGTCACCTATAAAATGGCATTAGCTGGATTTTTTATGAAGGGTAATAAAGATGATTTTGCTAAAACGAAAAAATGTTATTTAGAAGCCAAAAATTTGTATTTAAAAGCCGCAAAGCTTGATCCTATTGAAGCAAACTTATCTTTAGGATATATTTATTCTATTGGCTTGACTCAAAAAAATGATTACAAACCAAGAAAGGCCAAAAAATTATTCAAAAAGGTGGCGAGAAAAGCGGCTGCTTCGAAATCGGATACGAATGAATTAATAGCTGGAATGGTCATGCGAAATATTGCTACGTTGTTTCATAACTATTCTATTGAACCAAGTTTTTTTGATAGATTCAAAAATCTTGCTGTTAGTGATAAAAAGCAATGGAATTTAAAAAAAGCAGAAAAATGGTATAAAAGATCTAGTGATAAAAAAGATAGTCAATCTGCATATAACCTTGGATTACTTTATGAAGGATTTAAAGAAAATAAAGGCGAAGCAGAAGCATGGTTTAAGAAAGCATTCGATTTTAATAATAATAATTTATATGCGAAAGCTAAACTTGGAAGAATATTAATAAATAAAGAAGGTACGGATGAAAACAAAAGAAACGAGGGAATTAAAATGTTGAAAGAAGCAGCAGAAGACGGGTTAGTTATGGGACAGGTATTTCTTGGTCGAGCTTATGAGGAAGGAATAATTACCGAAGGGAAGGTTAAGGATTACAAAAATGCTGTTGAATTATATTCTAAAGCTGCTTGGCAAAATCGTGGATATTATAGCCATGTTGCACAATTTCGTCTCAAAGAATTAGAAGCTGAAATCCATATTGAAAATATTGACGATATCAAGGAAATGTACACAAAAGAATTGGAACATGGCTATATCGAAAATGAAGAAAAACTTAAAAAGTTTTGTTTTTAAGGAGTGATGTATTTTGGATCATTGAGATTTTTATTTCAATATTATCCTTCCAAAGTTTATTTCTCTAAATTATAATTGTTTTTTTATTGAACAAACGTACGAAAATTCATTTTTATTTATTATGTTGCTTACCTTATATATTATTATATTTATTTTGCTTACCAAAATTATCATCGAAAGATTTCCTATAAATTCCTTTTAGTAATCACCAAACGATCTGTTAAGAAAATAACATTTTCATTTACTTGTATTTCTTTGATTTGCATCATTATTATAAAATAAAGATGATAACGATAATGATTAATTAACGTTAAGTTCGAATGAATTTCCATCGAATTTTTTTAATAACGTTAATTAATTAGTTAATGAAAATTAATTATCACAGATTTTTGTACATTTCGTCTACAGTATAATCCAGGATTACTTATGATAATGTTTGAGGCGTTTGGCAACGTATTTATCATGTGCAAAAATTGTTTATAAATCTTAATATCGTTTTTCATAAAAAATAAACTAGTCAAGTACAAAAACTTATTTAATTTTAATGGAATATGGTAGTGAGGATACTTCCTGAATGTTTGTTCTTTTAAAGGATAAATACAAAATATATTTTAATCAATTGGTCAATTATTTTCCAGACTACAATTCACAACATAATTAATTGCTTCGAGATTGACTCCATCAAAAATTTAAATTTCAAAAAAAAAAATTTTCATTGTAAAAATATTTTCCAAAATTTTAAAAAAAGTACTACAAATATATTAATTGATACATAAATAAATTCCATTATAATTAGTAAATGTTTTAATGCATTTTAATAATTCATTAATAAAGCTTTCGCCGGCTAACTGCGGCTTCGAAATATCATGTGTTGACGACATCGTAATTTTAATGGATACTGTTGTATTCAGTTCTTTCGTTTATGTATTTATAAACAATTTGTATTGTAAGCAGAAGGTTTTAATGAGTAATTATT